CAAATGTAACTTTGCTCACATGGTCTAAAGGTAAAGGAAACAACTCTGAATAATATGGTGACACTTACAAATGGAAACAAATCTGCCATGCCAAGATGTAATTATTCGTATCTGTGTCTGCAACGGTATAATAACTCCACGCTGGTGGTGCAAGGCTGAACAATGGAGGTACCACAGTATGGGAAATCTTGAGAAAGGATTGTTTGTGGATAATATTCACAAAGAAAGCTGTCAGAGAACAGACACAGGTCAAACAGCTGTGCAAGTTCATGACTTAACAATAAAATGTCTACTGCTTGCAGACACCCGAACAGACACATGGGATCTCTTCAAACATGCATCGAAATAACCCCAAAAAAATGTCATAAAAGGATGTATCCTCAACAGCTGGCTGCTGTTTAAAACAGCGGTCATGCACTTCCAGAAGACAGAAACCATGTACCCTAATCAAACAAACGTTCAGATGTTTTTGGGGCAAATTACCACATTTAGGGGAGAGATGTGAAGTTATGTGAAGTTATAACTTCACATCTGAAGTTATGGTGGGTCAAGTTGTGACTGGCATGTTTAGAAAATATTGTAATGGCACCATTTTCTGCTTTGCTGCACTCTTCAGCAAACCAGAACAGTTTTATTATTTCAGAGTTTGGGAATTATGCAAGACCTCTTACTTGGGACTGACCCTCATTAAATTCATGATATAGTTTCCCACCAGATGTATTTTTAGAGAGTGAGGCCAAAATTCTTAATGTTAGTTGTGTACAGTTGTTAATATAAGCTGCTGTTTACAAACTACTAACAGTGCTCCCAAAAAGTATTTGCACACATTCATTCAAAGTCACATTCGACAGAGAGCCAGAGAAGAAACAATAACAGACCAGTGATGAAGTAGTCTTATCTAAGTTTGCTTCATGCCTGCTATATAGTGTTGATTTGACCAAATTCATCTAATTGAACTATCTGAGCTTTGGTCAGATATTTAAAACATGAGCGCGATCTAATGGATGTCTGGTCTTGTCAGTGTATGGCTGCATTTCTGAAAGCCTACCTAAGGAGAGAGGCTTGCACATAACCATAGATTGCATGCCTACAAACAAGCATGTGTCCTGCTTTCCTGTGCCCTGGAAGGATAAAGTTGTTTCATAGTCTAATGAGTTTTCAGCCCACACAAACGAAGCTCTGCTTCTGTCAGTCACCCCAGTCTTTGATTGGAAAGTCGGTTTTGATGACTTTGAGCTAGGAGATAAAAGTAAGACTTGCAATTATTCTGAAACCCCCTCAATGCTTCATTCTGGGGCTCGGTGTCTATAATCTGCTTGCTGCTTTTCATTAGCTCTCTTTATGAGGGGCTAACTCAATCAGGCCACAAAGTGTTCTCTCTCCAGCAGCTGCTAATGTGGCATCCAACAAAGTGCGTGCACAGTAATTACTTATTGTGTGCCCAAAGTGTTAAAGCTCTATTGATGTGCTGTGGCACTGTCTATTGCTGAGGTAAAATTGAAGCACAATACAAAAGCCGATCACTTCCATATACAGTTCTGCTCGTAAGTGTACATTGCAGAATTTGTCCTTTTTTTTTTTTAAATGCCGACTTTTTTTTATTTAGTACTGCCTTGATGAAGCTACATAAATTAAGATTCAAGTTGTGCATTAGTACATGGTCCTATAACTTCTTTAATTTCCCAGCATTCTCTGCACACATGGTTTTTCCCTCAATGTCTAGTACATATATGTTGTTGACATCCAGCTTTGCCACTGAGGTAATTGTATTTATATTTTCAATTTTAGAATATTTTAATAATTTTTTTTTGAAAAATACATTTGTAAAAGATTATATTAAAATATAACATTCTTGTGGAACACTCTTGTGCAGCATCTTTGGGACAGTACTAAAATATGATTTGATTTGAAAGATTATTTTACTTATTATTTTTTAAATGCTACAGATTCTGCAACTGTAATGGTTCTTATTTGTTTTAGTTGGATCTGTACTGTATATTTAATACAGTATTTTTCCTGTATTGTACTTTCAATACCATTATCACCATCATTATCCTTGCAATACAGAAAATGAAAGCTCATAGATATTCATTATGCTTTTTCTATTCCTCAGTCTATAAAATTATAGCATAACTTACGATGAAAATCGAGCTGGAAAAGAACTACATGTCTGGTACACTGATCATGTCCTCTGGTGTTGTGTGATATCTACTATAATACAAACTGCTACTCTGAATAAAGAAGAATTATTTAATTCCATGGTGAAGTATGCAACAATGGTCTATTTATTTTATTTGTAGGCTCACAGTAACAAACTTGCTGAATAGCTTGCAGAAAAAAAGCTTATGGCGATTACATTTATACTAGAAATAGTAAAAGTTATTATCTCATTTGAAAGTAAGATGTACAAATAGTACAGGAAACCATACACTAAATAAACACCATTGCAGCTGGACTCCGGCTGAAGTACAAACAAAGATCATCAGAGGGATCTAGTATCATTCACAGGCTGTGTTGAAAGCCAAGATTCAAGACATATTAACATGACCATTAACACGCACAGGCGTATCAGTATCAGACTGAACAACTTGTTGATTTTCTATCTTTGTATCTTTTCATTTCCCCTTTTCCTGTCCTTTTCCCCAGGAGAGCTTTACAGATGACTGTAAGTTCAGGGAGCGGTTTCAGGAGAACAGTTACAACACGTACGCCTCAGTGATCCACAAGAACCATCGCACTGGTAGAGAGTGGTTTGTGGCACTTAACAAGAGAGGTAAAGCAAAAATGGGGTCCAGTCCGAGAGTGAAGTCACAACACGTGTCTACACATTTTCTGCCGAGGATGAACTTGCATGAAAAGACTGAACAAGGATTCACAATAACAGACAAAGAGAAGGAAAAACAACCACCTCCACATCCACCAACACCTTCTATAACGAAAGTCGCAGCCAACACCGGAAAGAAGAATCGACCAGTAGTCAAATACTGGCCCAAGTTTCGATTCGGATAAACCAGTGCTGTCTTAAACATGGACTAATCTTGCAAAAAAGACAAGCTGGGAAAAAGATGGTTTGCTGAAACAACCAGTTTTCTCTTCAGGATAATCAATACTTGCTTAACTTAAATGACTTGAGCATTCCGGTCATCACGTACATTAAGGGCTGAATCAGCCAATCACAAGACCTTTTCAGGACGGAACTTCTGAAGTCCGATGTGCATTTCATGAGGATCTTCTGAAAATCATATATATTTGAACTAAAGTCGCTTTACAAGAGGATTTGCATTATTATCCTCAGTGATTTTACAAAATATAACTACATTTTTATATTATACCTCACTGTATTTATACAATATATTTATGTCTCTACAAGCTTTTTTGCACAAACAGTTATCCAGCTCCCAAAATTATAATGTTTGTGATGGTAATATGCAAATATATTTTTTAAAAAGGTGAACAACAGTACAGGAAAAAGAAGGCATATGAATTTGAATGCTTCTGGGCTGAATAATGCACATGGATTACTTATTTGCATGAAAAGTCCATATTTCTTCTACTAGATGTCTGTCCATCAAAACTATCAGGCTAGATGCTGACTGTCGTGGAAATTAAAATCCTGTCATGACCCCAGTTCATTCCACAGAAGAGCGATGTCTCACAAGGATAAACATGTCTTGTGGGACTGCTCTGTGTTTTTTTATGAGCTCTGCTCATAGATGTATCAAATGGCAGACAGTCGTGGTATGACCCTTCACAAAATATCCCTATAACTGTCAAGCAGGGCACACTGAAACAGTGTGGAAATCATCTTTAGTGTTTACAGGTGATTGCAACCATAATCCATTTCCAAACTTTTCACAACAATTCATTTCTAATAAACATTTCACTGTAATGACATTAAAAACATCCTGTGTATAATTCCTAAAATTATTCTGAGGCTATTGTCTGTTTTACAAACTACCACAAATGTTGTGCTTTTGTATTTGGAATGGGAATATATTAGGATACAACAGAAATCCTTAAAAGATCATAAAGGTTTAATCACAACTATTATTGCACACTTTGTTAATTCTGCATTAGATTCTCCTGGAATCATCAATGTGGCCAAAATCCATATTATGCATGCATGGTGGTGGTAGTGGATATCTATGTCTGAAGACTTGCCCATTGCAATTGACATAACAGCTGGCTTGTGCCATTACCCTGTTGGGCTGATCCAAGGGGTAAAGTCAGGGTTTGGTGGAGGTCAGACATTCCACCGGAAAATGGTTTACAACAGTGTCTCATCAAACAGGTTGAAATACAGGGGTCAAGACATCCACATCAAATGGTGTCTGCATAAGCCGTAATGCTGAACAGTGCTATGGCTCTAAAGGTTTCTTCATACTTCTTGGATATATGCCAAGACATACATCCATAGCCAGGAGCCTTTTGTCTGGGAATACAATCTTTGCCATTCAAATAATAATATTCCTTCAAAATATTATTAAAGGACAAAGGAAATGCTCTTCAGCCTAAATAAATAAAAATAAAATAGATTACATAAAGGAACTCTTAAAATATGAATAATTAATGTTTGCTTTTAAAAATGAATCAGTCGCATTGTCTTTTATTCTGACATAACAATGAGGCAAGATGATTTTAAATTTGCATGAAAAATCTTAAAGCTTTCATTTAGAATCTGTACCAAAATATGATGCAGTTTCTCAAAATAATATGATAATATAAAATTCAAATTATATTATATTATATTATAAAGCCATGGACGCTTAGACTGCAAGAAATCATTAATTACACAGAGTAGGTCTTTGTTAGTAGGCTAGGCTACCAGAAGACAAGACTGTGCTAGACCACATGATTCAACAAGGAAATCACATAAGCATACATTCGCCTGCCACTCTTATCATAGCAGAATTAGTACTGGTATTGCTTGTAATATTAATATCTGAAATAATAAATATTTTGTAGCTCTAAGAAACAGCATTGCAGACAGACAAACTTACACTGATGTTGTCGCTTGAGATCGTCTAATTTTCCCGCAAATCGCACTTGTTTGGATGGGCGGGGCTTACGAATTTATATTGGATCATGATTGGTTTACAACCGGAAAACACGATAACTGCTACTATCATACTACAGCTGTCTGTTACCATGGGAATAACTCAAAGTAAACAAGATGGAAGACAACAGCGGCGTCTTTGCGGGAGAAACCGTGGAAGAGTTTCGCACTTATGAGGACTTCTTAGATTCTCAGATAAAACCTCTGGATTTATTTTACCTTGAGGTGAAGTATTAAAATTCGCGCTGTAAGTTAAACCGTCTGTGTCATGTGACGTTGTGAATCTCACGCACACTGTGAGATCAGATGCATCAAGAAAACGATTTATTTTGTTTCATTGCTAAATCAGCATTTTATTAGTCATTGTGAATAGTCTGGCAGTTACGCTTGTGCACACATTACGATAGCCTATGCAGACAGATGGAGTAACAAAGTCATTTCTAAGTATGGCCTGTGAAAGTGTACGTTTGCAGTTTAACGTTAGATGGCGACATGGTACTTCTTTCCTGCATGCTTCTATAAACTACAACGTTTTCTCATCATAATGTACAATGGTAAGTGAGACACTTTGTAGTTATATTTATTATAATCTTATTAGTATAAGGTTGTCATTTAACTAAGTCTGATGCAGTCGGTTTATACAAGATTTAAGTCAACATTCAATGACAACATCAGGCAGTACAGTGTCTCTTTTAGCCCAGTTTTAGAAATTTGGATGAAATTAATCAAATAATGAAATTTTGTAATATTGACTGTGTTAGTTTGGTTAATGAGTGAGGTAAAGTCATGGTATACTGTACATATTTTACACTTAATGTAAGAGCCTTGGAAACTGTAAGAGGCTTTGCCGGTATGGACTTAAAAAATTCCCCATCTGATTTAGTTGGGATTTGTTAAAGTGCATGGAAGAAAATAATTCAAACTTAAGTTGTAGGAATTGTCTGTAGCAGTCTATAAATGCCAATGTGTGGTTTCCTTAGCAATGAGGACTCTAGGAATATATTCAGAGACATTCTGATTTAGTTTCATATGTGGGGGCATATTTCTGGTTACAGGAATGAGCCTGTCTCAAGTTATAAGGTGTTGTGTGACTTGATTGGTTACACATTCAGTCATTTACACAGTGCTGGATTCAAAATTCAAATCTACTGTCTGGAGTTTTTGGTACTACAATCAACTATATGGTCTTAGGTCGTGTAATTAATAAGCAGTACAAAAAATTCTAACTTTTTTTTTTTTTGAAAGAAATTAATACTTTTATTCAGCAAAGATGCATTAAATTGATCCAATGTGACAGTTTATAAGGATCAAAGATATTTATAATGTTAAAAAGATTTATGTTTCAAATAATTCTTTTAAACTTTCAAATCATCTGAGAATCCTGAAATCAAAAATTACACAAAAATATTTAGCAGCACAGCTGCTTACAACATTGATAAAAAATTATAAATAAATCTTAATTTCTGAAGGATTATGTGACACTGAAGACTGGAGTAATTTTTGCTGGAAATTCTGCTTTGCCATCACAGGAACGATGAAAAATCTTTAATATTTCTTTTAAATTGTAATTTAGGCTCAGATTTTTTGATGATGTGTTAGAAAATATATTTCGGTAACATTAACATGGTTTCAGTGTCAACCTTACAGAGAAAAAAACATTTTACCTATTTTTGTTTGACATTTATACTTTTCACTGTTTGACTTTTAGTGTATTTATATTAAGATTGAGTTTAACCCTTCACAAATGGATCTTGCCATTTGAGTCTGAGTTTGGGGGGGGTGTTTCCTCGGCAGCAGCTCTCTACAAACTCAATGCCCTGTAGCCACATGAAAGCAGCTCCTCCTTTTGAGGGCATAAGGAATCTCACTAAATCATATGGAAATGATACTACCCACTTTTAACTAGGCTGCAGTGACATGTGGCAAAAATCCTTGATCCTGGCAACCATGAAAATATCAGCGCAGCTCATGTAATTTTGTCATATAAATAGCATGTATACTAAAATAGGATTGATATAAATAGCACTTGAGCACAAAACTAGCACAAATGTGTCATGAATACACTGGCCTGTTTGTACAGAAATGCCACAGCAGATTGTCAAACTGCATGATTTATTCATATTATTCAGTCAGTTTTAACCACCCCCAGCTCAGCAGATCTGTGTTATTGCTCCTCCAGGATCAGGAACTGGCCCGCCAGCTGGTGGAGCTGGGCCACAAGGCTAGCAGTTTGGAGAGGGAGGAATTTGAGACAAGGAAAGCAGCTGCCGAGGCCTTCAGGCTTGCTTCAGGGAGCCAACAGAAGTAAGTATTTTGTGTTGTGACCATGAAAAGGGGACAAATTTCACACCAGTATGTGACCTTGAGAACATGTATTTTCCAGAATGGATTAATTATTGATGCACATTCACTGTAAATATCAAAGACATCAAATGACAGTAAGATGGTAGCAAATAATCTAAGATTATAGGATCTAAATGTCCAAGGACACAACAGGGTCTTTTTAGAGCAACGTTGGCTCAAACCACTAAGGACTTTCCGATGACGTTAATGCTCTTTATAGATGCACCTGACAGCTCATGTGTTTCTTCATCCCTTCACTGTGAGAGAGGCAAAAGCTTTGTTTGTGGGAATTTTTGGGATGCTGTAAACTTGGACGAGGATTGCATAGTTGCTGTGGTGAGGCTTCAGGAAACATTTTTGGAGAACTATATTTGTGTTTTCTTGGGCTGCTTGTGGCAGCTCCCCTGCCTAACCACCTGCAGACGTGTCTTTGTGGCGTTCAGTGCTTGTCAAAATGGACAGAATTTCTGAGTCTCAGTTTAAGTAAAATAATATTAAATGAAAGAAAAGAAAAAAAAGAGTCTATTTTAGTTTAAATTGCAGTTAAATAAGAAAACAACTCTTTAGGCATATAATTTGATACAGCCTTTTGAAAGGCTATTGTGTTTACTTCAAGCCAATAAACTCCTTGATAGTGCTCCTAGTGTGTCTTTCTTAAAGGGGTCATATGATGTTGCTAAAAAGAACATTATTTGGTGTAATGAAATGTGTTTGTGCAGTTTAAGGTTCAAAAAACACATTATTTTCCACATACTGTACATTATTGTTTCTCCTCTATGCCCCGCCTTTCTGAAACGCGTCGATTTTTACAAAGCTCATCGGTCTGAAAAGCGAGGTGTGCTCTGATTGGCCAGCTATCCAGTGCGTTGTGATTGGCCGAATACCTCAAGCGTGTGACGGAAATGTTATGGCCCTTACCATACTGTGATACCGTGTCCCGGAGCGACTAGACAAAAACATTAAAACCCATTATAAAAAAGGCATTTGTTGCATCCAGTGGGGACATTATTACGGATTATAATGAATGACTTATACAGTCTTTTTACGCGTTGCCTATCGCGCCGCGTAAACAAACCCAATGTCTGCATTTGTGATCGGAGAAACGACAAACAACAAGCCCTACTCTACACTGCCAAAAAAAAAGGAAAACTTGAAATCGCATCATATGGCCCCTTTAAACAAGAAGCTCAAATAGTCAGTGAAGGTCTGTACTGCAGGCCCCAATTATTTGGGCTTTCTTAAATCAATAGTTTTCGACATAACATGCATTATTTGACCATTTAAGTGTATTTAGTCATGTTTCCACATAGCAAATAAGTAAACAGTGGCTCTTGGTTACTTGCTTAAATTGATGCTAGCAAAGTGTGATCTAAATGTGGTTTTCACATCCACCTTTCTCTCCACAAGAGGGCCCTATCACCTCAATACTGTTCCTAGGTTACCATAGCTATGCACATCTGATGGTTAGTATGCCTATCAAGTCTAGGTTTAGTTGTATGCTGCAAAGTTACTTCACTTAAACTCTGAACAATCTCCAGTAAAATTCTGTAAAAGACTTAGTCTGGACTGTTATTTAGATACTGTATTGCTATAATTCTTAATCACTAAGCTTGTATGAGTGATTCACAATGCATACACAATGGCATCACAATGATTAGTGGAACACAATGCATAGCCTTACTGCCTCTGGAGATTGTGAAGACAAGCCGAACACTTGTAATAAAAGACCAAATGGTGGGGAGGGGACATGACTTGTGTGGTTAAATGTAAGTGAGCTATAAATAAGGTACCAATATATTCATTAAATAGCATGTTGAACTTTTTGTTCATTCTTAAAGAATGAAACATCCCTGTACGATTTGGGGGCTTTTATGCTCAACAAGGCTGTATTTATTTGATCAAAATACTGTGAAAACAGTAATATTTTGAACTATTATAATTTAAAGTAACTCTTTTCTATTTCCTATATTTAAAATGTAATTTATTCTTGCAACGATAAAGCTAAATTTTCAGCAGCCATTACTCCATTCTTCATTGTCACTTCAGAAATTATTCTGCTGATTTGGTGCTCAAAAGCATTTCTATTAGTGTTGAAGACATTTGTGCTGCTTAATATTTTAAACTGGGATAATTTAAAGATCCCTAGATAAGTAAAAAGTTCAAAAGAACATCATGTATTTGAAATAGAAATCATTTGTAACATCATAAATGTCTTCACTAACACTTTTGATCAATCTAATGCATGCTTAATAAATAAAAGTATTCATTTCTTTAAAAAAACAAACAAACAAACAAACAAAAACCTTACTGAGCCCAAACCTTGGATGGGTAGTGAAGCAGACAGTAAAAATCTTTAAAGTTTAAAATCTTTGATTGATTTACAATTACCTTCAACTCAACAAAACAAACATTAAATCTCTCCCCTTTAGTGACTCCCTCTTAATTTCCATCTTCCAGTGTGCTCTTTCTCTCTCTCTCTGCCTTCCTTCCTCTCTTTCTCTCTGCCTTTTCAGGCCTGCCTGCAGGTGTATAAATAGAGATGTTTTCAATTAAGATGTGCTTTGCCTGTAGCGTGCATCTGATCAATGAATGCTCCTGCACCTGTGGTAATAAAATACCAGAGGACGAGGGAGACTGTGCTATGAATGCTAATCAGATGTT